AGCGGCCGCGGGCGGGGCTCTAGGCCTCCGCCGCCCACCGGGTCGCTGAGCCCACGCGGCAACCCCACAGAAGATCCCGCCCGGTGCCTCAGGGAGGGGAGAATCCAGATCTCTCTCTTAGCAAAACCTGGGCCCTTGAACCGCCAGGTGCCGGGGAGAGGGGAGGCTCCAAGACAGAGTCTACAGCCCACAGCCCAAGCCCTTGAGGAACTCCCCCCTTGACCCCCCCCCCACCCCGAGCCCCCCGCCCTGCCCCATTCCCTCCCTGCAGCCTGACGGGCCCGCACCCACCCCTCCCCAGCCCGGGGCCTCCCCAGTCCCAGTTTGCCCAGAGGTTAAGTGGAGAAGACACGCACCTCTTGAGCCACGTGAACTGGCTGGAGCCCCTGCACCGTAAGTTGCTGCACGGGGCCGGCTTTGGGCGCCTGTGGAGTGGCTTGGACCACGGACCTCTGGGATGGAAAAGGCAAGTCAGACTGTGGTAACCGTGGCGACCAAAGGCCCACCCATCCCTGAGCACCCACCCCATGCCCACATGAACTCCTGTAAGCCTCACAGCAGCCCGGTGAGAAAGAGGCCACCATTCTCCAGCTCTTCCCTACGGGCCCTGCACCAAGTGCCTTTGAGATTCAGGACCACATTGACCCCGGGCGTTCAGTTAGAGGCTACGCCGTGAACAGAGGCTCATCAAAGCGAGGCTGACAGGAAGTGGCAGAACTGAAGTTGAACTTGGGACTGACTGCGGGAGTCCTTGCCACCCACCCCTACTCTGGACATGAGTTATCGCACACCCCCGCATCCGCCATGCCTCCTCCTCCTCACTTTCATGCTACCGCAGGAATACTGACATCGCCCTCAGGGCACAGAGCGAGGGGCAGAGGCCGGGGGTGGGGTGGGGTGCCGAGTGGTGGATTAGGACTCGGACCCAGGCCTGGAGGTTCAGAGGGTGCGTGGTGCTCGGCAGGACATCTGCGAATCCTTCGGGATGGGGTTTCTGCTTTTCCTCTGGGGGAGGTCTGTGCCTTTCATCTGGTTTCGCGAGGGATTTGGGACCCCGCAACGTGAGTGATGACAACCAGATGGCAGACGACCCTTGCCACTTAACCTGCTCCAGCAGCTCAGAGCATAGCCTCCGCCCAAAGGCTGGCCGTGCATTTAGAGGCTGGGCCTCTCCCTGAGCTCCTTAGGGGTAAGCCTGGACTTGGCCTCGGGGCTTCCTCCCGGCGAGTGGGCCCAAAGAGGCAAGGTTGTTTCTCAAAGTTGTTTCCAGCGCCCATTCAGTGTTAGGTGCCACCTGTGAGGACCACATCTCATCCCCCAGCAACCCCGGCCACCCTGCCCCCAGACTCCCAGGGCAGAAGCCATTATGCAGATAAGGATGCTGTGTCTGAAGGAGAGCAGAGGTGCTTGCCAGAGGCCCCCGGGGGCCGGCTGAGGATGCACCCCTACCTGCTTGGCTCCCACAGACCTTCCCGACCGCAGCTCTCACAGACAGCCAAGGAGGCCGCAGAGGCTGCCTGGCCAGGACCCCCTGCCCCAGCCACCGCCCGCCTTGGCCTGGCACCTCTTGGGTGACGGGGACACTCTGCTGAACGCCACAGACCTGCAGCTGCTGCGGCACTGCACCCGCGGGGGCCCCAGCCGTCTTGCTGGAGGAGCTGTTTGCCTGCCCCGGCGACCGCTGCGAGGGAAGGAGACACGGGAGCGTAGTCTGGGCACCCAGGCCCTGGAAAACCCTTCTCAGGAGGGCAGTCCCAAGAGCTACTTGGGGAGGGTGGCAGTCTACAGAGGTCTCAGTCTCCTAGGCTGGTAACTGGCCGCGTTTCATGAATCCAAATGCCTAGTCCCTGCCATAGCCCCGCTCACTCCCAGGCAAGGCTAGGGGTTCGGCTCAGAGGTGCTGGTGGGGGGACCCACCCTCTGCAGCCCAGATGGCCTCAGCTCAGAGGACACCTGTGCCTCCGAAATCAGAGGGACTGCCGCCTTGAGGTGAGGAGGGGTAGGTGAGGCAAGCCCCACTTTCCAGATGGGAAGGGATGTCCCAAGGCCACACAGCTGAGTGGTGGCACCGGGCACTGACCCCAGGCAGACTGGTGACAGAGTCCCTGTTAGCTCTGGGCCATGCTGTGGCCACACGGAGCTGACGGCACTTGGTATTATTAGCTGTTTTACAGAGAAAACACTGGGCTCAGGAGGCTCCAGGGGCCTGGCCAGAGTCCCCCAGGAGAAATGGCTGAGCTGGGGGTCTGACCCCAAGCTCCTGATGCTGCCACCTATGCTCCCAGCCACCCGTGGTCTGCCTGCCTCCAACACACTCATTAGTGCTTAGGGGGTCCCCAGAATCCACCCTGTAGTCTGGGGAAGAGCCTCTACCAGCCCTGAGGGGCGCAGGGGGACCCGCTTTGCTTCCTGGGACGCGGGGTCCTGATGTGGAGCTGCGAGGCCCATCGCAGCCTGGGGTGGGAAGCAGGGCCACGAGTCAGGCAGCCAAGCCACCCGACCCGGGCTCAATAAGGACTTTGGAGGAGCGAGTGGGCTTGGGGGCACAGGGACCCCTCCAAGTATACTCTGGGGGTACATGCCCAACCTGGGGAGAGAGGTACAGAGAGGGCAACTGATGGGGCCACCACCTACCTCAGGGGGCGAGTGCACCTGCTGGGTGCCATGCACTGTCAGGGAAACCTGGCCACCCTTGCCGCCTGGGGCCGTGCTCTGCACCACCAGACGCTGCGTGGGGAGAGCCTAGAACCAGGAGGAAAAAGGACCACAGTTCACTCACAACAGCCCGTCCGGTTCCCGCGAGCATCTGTGCCACACCAGGCGATGTCCTGGTGGTGCTCACCCGTCAGCTCACAAAACTGCCCCGACGGCCCCCGGGCAGCACTGTTACTACCCCCACCGCACACAGGGTGACAGCGAGGCTTGGGACGGCGAAAGCGCTCGCCTGAGGCCCTGGAACCGGTAAGTGGCCGAGCCAGGGTTGACGTCCAGGGAGCCCGGCTCCACAGGCCATGCGCAATATGCTCTCACCCTTGAAGCCCGTTCTGGGCGGAGCCCCGTCACACCGCTGGCAGCCTTCTGGGGGACAGGCCACCATGTACTCACGGTCCCCGTGCTGGCTACGGGCTCTTGGCTCCTAACTGGCATTGGGTTCTCTGCTTTGAGATATCGGGGCCGGGCCTGAAAGCCACCTTCCTTACTGCTACTCCTCGGCTGTCTATTAAGATGTCTCGTGCAGCAACTCCTTCCCCAACGGGCCCTGACTGCCACCGTCTCACTGGCCGGAGGCAGCGGTCATCCCCCTGGATGGGGCCCAGGTCCTTGATGCTGGTGAAGGCACATCTGAGCAGGCCACCAGGAACTGTCTCTGCAACCCAGGCGGAGGCCGGGCCTGGTGTGGCAGCCTTACCTGCTGGGGCACTGAGATGTTGGTGAGCTGGAGGGGAGACACGTGGCCCGGCTTGGCCTGCACGCTTGTCTGGACCAGCAGACGCTGTAGGGGCAGGGAGTAAGGACCTGAGCCATGCGGGCTTCCCCAGGGCGGGGTGGGGGTGGTGGCTGAAGCGAACATCTTGCTAAGAACAGGTGAGCAGATGGCTCTGGCAGCAGGGTGGGAGGGGAGGCCAAGTACCTGTGGCCACCGTCACCAATGCCCCTCTCGTGTGCCCTCCCGCCCTGCCCCCTGGGGGGGGGGAGGGGAGTACGTCCTACCTGCTGGGTGCCCTGCACCTGCTGAACCACCTGAGTGGGGACTCCGGTCTGGCTGGCTGTGGAGCCCGGGCTGGCTTCTGATACAGTCTCACTGGCCCGCATGGCGCCTTCTGTGAGGAAGGGTCACTGGGTCAGCTCCGCCTGCTGTCCCTGTCAACCCTGAGCCCGAGCCCATCAGGAGGGGACGAAGTGGCCTGAAGCTGATCCTCTGACAGAGCGGGGTCTCTCCAAGATCCTGCCTGTCTCCTGGCAGGCCTTGACACTGCACATTGGGATAAGCCTTAAGGACCTGTGGCCTTTGACATGCAGAAGCAGCCCCACCCCACCCCACCCCTCCTCGTCCCAACGCTAGACCAGGAGGGGTGACTGAGGAGCCGTGATGCTCAGGCCCAGAGGGCTGGATCCCTTTCTCCAACAGATAGGACTTGTGGACAGCCAGTGACTGACCCCCTTCCCCAGGGTCTCAGCAGCCCTGGAAGGACCAAGGTGCTGGGGCCACCTTCCTCAAGAGGACTCTTGGCTTCCCAGGAATGGGAGATGGTCAGGAGTGAGCTCAGAAGGCCTTGCCAGCCTGTGGCCAAGCACTAACCCCCCCTGCACTGTCCCAGCCTCCCTGTCCTCGGTGGGGCGGGGGCAGTGGGGGGGCTTGGAGGTGGGCAGGCAGGTACTCACGCTGACAGGCAGCCGAGAAGAGGCAGTCGTAGAACATGGTGCCCACCTGTCCCCGCCCTGCCCCTGCCCCTGCCCCCGTCCATCCAGGGGAACCTGCCCCACGGTCCTCACTCCTTGCCCACCTCTTTGGGAACAGCAGGGTGCGTGGGCAGCTTTCTACGCACAACCTTGGGGAGCTAATCCCTCCCGGTGGATGCAGAGCTCCCGGCTGCCCTCTTAGAATAAACACTCTCCTCCCAGCAGACAAGGCCCAAGCAGGGCCTTCTCTGGGCCAGGGCCTTGCTATGAAGTCAGGAGGGAGGCTGGTACCCGGAGATGCTATCGGGCAGGCGCAGGTCGAGTTTCATGCACATCTCGCTGAGTGATTAACAAGGGAGCTGAGAAGGGGAGGGGCACGGGGAGCAACTGGCCTTGAGGGATGCTGGCTGGGAGCCCCCCGCCCCAGTCAGGATACCATCCATCCTGCCCCCTCCCTGTGGCCTGGCTTGGTCCCAGCAGTTCCAGAAGCCAGGGTAGGGTGGTGGGGCGCATATGTGCCTGCCTTCCTCCAAAGTGCTACCAGGAGCTAAGCTGCCAGTGCCACCTCCCCGGGGGGTCCCTGGCAGGACTGGAGGGTGGTGGGCAAGGAGGAGGGGTACCTATGGTGCTTCTAGTGCCCCAAGTGTTGCGCTACAGTCTTCCCGGGTAGCTGGAGACAGACAGAACTTCTATCACCCCTGTTATTAGATAAGGCAAGCGACAGGGAAAGAGGAAGTGACCTGCTTAAGGTCACCCGGATGGGAAGTGGCAAGACAGGATGCTGGCCCAGATCTGTGCCCACATAAACCTCACATTGTGCGTAGAATCCAGAGTCTCGGGTCATGCTTGGGCTGATACCCCAAGGGCCGTGGTAAACAGTGAGGGGGGGCGGTCAACGGGAACCCCAGAAGGACCAGAGCATCGGGAACTGGGCCTTGGCTATGTGGGGACACAGGCTTGGGAGAAGAGCCTGGCCAGGGCAGAAGGGCAGTGCCAGGGAGCAGCGAGAACCTCAGGGACCAAGTCTGGAGCAGAGCTCAGGAACGTGTTATGCATTGGGGGGAGGGGGAGTGGTGGCCAGATGTGGGAGGTGGTTGTTGGGGGAGGCCTCTCATTGGCCACACGTGGGACACACATTGGGACAACCTCAGGCCTGCTTGGCCAGCTGCCTCTGCAGCCAGTTCCAGGAGATACCAATCCCTAGATCCGGCCAGAGTCCTCCCTCGTATCCACTTAGGGTTCCCTGAGCAGTGAGGGAGGCAGCCATCGCTGAGATGGGCCCCCGGGAGAAACCTGAGAAAGCCCTGAGTCACGTGAGGGGCCTGGCACACCTGGCCGTCCGTGGGACACGGGGAGCCAGGCCCAGCCCAAGGAATGGCACCCAACCGAAGAGGCCTCTGACAGGTTTTGCCTAGTTCATGGTCGGCCACTGAGTGGAGGGGCTGGCCCCAGCTACCTCCTAGGCCCGGGGACTCCGATGAAACCGCCTTCAGTGGGACCTTCAGCGGGACCCTCAGCAGCTGGGAGGCCTGGGGACCTGCTGAGACCAGGGGATGGGGAAGCCCCAGGAAACAGTCTGGGATGGTCCTCAAGGCTGGGAGCCCCGGATCTGCCAGGCCAGGAGGGGGTGCCAGGCTGCACCATGAAGTAAGCAGGTGAGATTCCAGAGTCTGATATTTGGATGAGGGGCTTCGTGTGTGTGTGTGTGTGTGTGTGTGTGTGTGTTGGGGCCTCTGCATCTGTCTGTCTGCTTTCTCCATTCTGGGCATGTGCATGAGACCAGGGAGGGCCCTGCAGCCTCAAGTCTATAGTCAGGAAGTGGCAGCTGGTTTCCTGTCCCTCAATCTGATGAGCATCACTTCCTCCCCGGGCCCTGCAACTTCCCCTCGAGACCTACTCACATCTCCAGGACCACGAGCTATGAGGGGGGAAGACTGAGGGAAGCCCCAGAGGCTTGATGACAAGCTGTCGTCCTCACGGACGACAAACGGGGCAGTCTGGCTCTCTCCCTCCCGATCCTTTGATCCTGAAATGACTTCCGTCAGGCGCTCTTGGAGCGGCCTGTGGGTCCTGGGTCCCTCGTCTGCCCTGACCTTGGCTTCCCGTCTGTAAAGCTCTCTTTCGGACACAAGTCTTCCCGGACTCCCAAGGACTCCAAGTGTGAGCTGAGCAGGGAAGACAGGCTGGCCGCAGACCCTCCTTCAGCCAGCCCTGTCTCCTGCAGGCCGGCTCAGTTTCACCTTCCTGCCGTGGCAGCCAGGGCCCGCAGTGCCCTCCTTCCACCTTGAGTTTCAGGCAAGAGGCTGGCAGCCTGTGAGGACAGGCACTTATGGATCTAGAGGGCTGGTCCTGAGCAGGGAAACGAGTTTCCTTCCCATCACCTCCAAAGACACCTTCGGGCAGAGCCCATAAAGTCTGGCGTGTGGTGTTGCTCTCAGTTGGGCTTCCAGCCTGGGCTCCAGGTTGGATCTGGCCCGCGCCGCCCCCCCCCCGCCTCCTCCCTGCGTCCCCCTGGGTCCCTGGTCAGCTCAGATTGCTCTGGCTCTGAAGGAGCCCCTGGCACCTTGCCGCAGCCTTGACTGGTGTCAGTTACCTCCCCTACCCCCGCCGCCGCGCCTGGGATGGGCTCACGTGACCCAGAGGCCACCCTTAGATGAAAAGAGACACTAACCCAGGAGAGGGTCATGGAGGAACCCTGGGAAATCACTGCGAGGGGATGGGGGAGGGGCCAGTGGAGCAGCAAGTGGAACGACAAGGTACAGCCAACCTCCTCTTCCTCAGAACAGACGAAGGAAGCATCACCCAGTAACCCTCTGGGGGACGGGCTCCCCGCCACCAGAACAGGGAGCAGCGAGGAACAGAAAGCCCCCAGCACCACCGTGAAAGACAGACCAAAGAAGGAATCCCTAGTGTCACCCCCGTGGCCCATTCACTGCAGCCCACCAGCATAGAATGGCCCCACGGTATAACGGGGGACCAGGGGAGTGGGAGCAAAGGCCTGACCTCTAAGCATCAGGGGCTTGCTCCCTGGGCATGCATCAGGGAGCACAGGAGAGGCTGGGGGCGGGGAGAGAGGAACATGCCAGGAGTTGGGGGTGCCCTAGGGCCTGGAGTCATGTGCCCTTTCCAAACCCTTGCCCTGAGGTCCCTGGACCCCCAAAGCAGCGAAAACCAGCACCCAGGAAGTCCAGGGCCAATCAGATGCCCTGTATGCTGAGCGAAGTCCTCCGGCAGTGACAGGCGAGGCCTCCCGCCTGCTCTCGGCTGCCCAGGGCTGACCGAACGTGAAGGCTGTGATGGGTCAGGCTGGCACTCACGTGGGTGCTCACCAGTCATTCCACAAAGACCCAGTGGACAGAGCCCCGCCCTCAGGGATAAGGGGATGGGCGTCATCACTTCAGGTGACGATGAGTGTTAAGAAGAAAAATAAAGCGAAGTCAGGAGACGGAGCGAGCCGTGGAGGGTGGGGAGGTGTGGGCGTCAGGGAGGTGGCATCTGAGCAGACACCAGAACAGAGAGGACAAGCCATGGGAAGGTTTGGGACGAGCAGTGCACCAGGCAGAAGGCGCCGAGAGCGCAAAGACCTGGAGGTCAGACTGAGCCTAGTGGGTTTTTAGAGCCGCAGGAAGGCCAGTAGGGCTGGAGCAGATGTGGGAGGGGGCAGGTGGGACCAGGTGGGGCTGGGAGGCTGGCAGATCTCCCAGCCAGAGTTGGAACGCTAGGCAGTTGTCGGCAGGGGATGTAGGAAGGGCGGAGCTTTGAAAGCCCTTTCCTTGTGGGAGAGGCCACAGGGGCCCAGCTCTCCTCAGGTGAGAAAGCCAAGGTCAGGGTTTCTCAGAGAGGGTTCCCAGAGCCACCTGCCTCCGAATCATCTGGGTCGAACTGGGTTGTGATGCGATTAATCAATAGTTGCCATCAGGCTCCCTCTTGGGCGCTGTGGGGGTGGACGGTGGTGGGTGAGGGCAGGGGCTGGATCGGGGGGGGGGGGGCGTGGAGGTGGGAGAGATGGTGGGTGCTGGCAGCATTTAGGAGGTGGGGCCAAGAGGTCTTGCTCAGGGATGGGCAGGACGGGAATCCAGGCTGGCCTGGGCCCGGGTGTGGTATTTATTAGGACGAGGAAGTCTCAGGAGAGGGCGGACTGGATGAGGGGAAAACATCCAGAGTTCCGTGTGGCCATGCTGGCTTGGGAGGCCTGTTCAACCCTGAATGGATGGGTCACAGGCGGCTGGGGGTCAAGGCCACGGCCCAGGGAGTGCTGCTGGCACCGAGGTGGGAGTGAAAGTGGACACACTGGACAAGGCCGCCCTGAAGGGACGGGAGGAGGAAAAGAGCAGAGGGGGCTGAGAAGGGAGGCAGGAAGTGGGCAGAGACCAGGGCAGGAGGGTGCTTCTGGGAGGAAGGGGGCCAGTGTGTCAGGTGGCTCCCAGGGACCAAGGAAGCAGACCAGCAGACTGACGAGGTGGAGCTGTGGGCGACTCCCAACTGGGGCCCTGGGCGGGGGGTGGGGGAAAAGCACAGGCCAGCAGAGGAGAGAAAACGAGTTAAGGAAGGGAGGGGGAACCCTTCAAGGAATTTGAACTTAAAAGGAAGTGAAGCCGTGGGCAGCAGCTGGAGGGGTGCAGGAACTGGGGTTTCGGGTTAAAATGGGAGCTGTTTCACTTTTGCAGGCTGGTGGGAAAGATGTGCAAGAGAGGCACTGAGCCACGAGGCCCTGGAGGGGATGGCCTGGGATTTTCAGAGCTGGTGGGCACAGACCCACCCTGAGAGCTGTGAGGCCAGCTCAGGGGAGATGGGGTCCTTCTTGATAAGCGATGGCGCCTGTCCCCAGTCCCCAGTGAGGTAGGCAGCAGGGTCAGGGATCAGGAGGGAGGAGTGAGATGAGATGATGGAGGTGAGGGTCGGCTTCTTGCAGAGTTGGGAGGTGGGGTATGCTGGTGAGAAAACCCAGCAGGATAACTGGGCAGTGCTGGGAACCTGCTGGAGATCTGCGACCTGGGGACCCTGGCCATGTCCATGGCTGGTGCTCTCAGCATGGCTCCCACATGACATCCCTCCAGGCCAGTCCCTGTGGTAAAGAGTCGCCACTTTGAGCCCCTGCTTGCCCCCACCCCCACCCCTCTCTGGAGACCCCGACACTGCCAGGAGCCTAAAGGATGCTGCTCGGGGCTCCGGCTACATCCGCTCTGGTCCCCCGGGGCGATGTCAGTTGCCACGTATCGCTCTATATTGTCCTATCTTCCTAAACCCGGCCTTGACCTGCCCCTTCCACAGCCTCCCAGGATGGCTTTGCGATTCCCCCTCCTTCCCTTTCCATTCTGGAAGGATTGAGGGGCTTCAAGGCATTCTCCCCCTGTCCTACCCCCACCCCACCCCTCGGTGCACACTGGAAACCACTGAAGATGCCCAGTCCTGGTCTGAGCTCTGCCTCCTCAGGGGCGTGACTCCCTGTCCTGACCCTCTGCTCCCAGTCCCTCCTGCTGGGCCCATCTCTAGGACGTGGGAAAGATGGTTAGGCAGGAATCACGGACACCACGACTCAAGCTTCCCGGCCACTTTCTCTACAGCCACAGGGGAGACTGCAGTGAGAAACAGGGGTCCTTGGCCACGCAATCAAGAAACTGCCCAACCAACAGCCTCCCTCGGCCCCTGGGTCCTGCCAGAAACAAAAAGGGTACACCTCTGGGGAGGCCTCCCAGCTGACCTCCCCAAAGTGCCCCCACGAACGCCTCGCATGAGATGAGGGCAGGCCGTTCGCCCTCCGTCTCCAACAGACGTTTGCAAACTTTAAGTCCCCCGCCCAGTCCTTTCCTCAAGTGGCAGTTTACTTGGGGACAGAGACAGAAACAGCTCTAAGGGCCGCCCTGGTGGAAAGGAGTTCAGGCGCACAGAAGCCTCGTTGCTTGGCCTGACCCCTCCCTCCCCAGAAATGCCCCCCACCCCGGCCCCCCCCCCCCCCCCGGGGACCCCAGCAAGTTTGAAAGCTGCCGTGCTGTTGACAGGCACAGTGACAGAGGGAGGGCATCCCTGTGCCCCCCTCCATCCAGGACGCAGGGCTCCCCAAAGTCCTGTCCGAGTCGTTCTCAGAGCACCCCCGGCTCCGAGGACATGTCCACTTACCAGAGACGGTGACCACGATGTACTGCTGGGACGCCGGGGTCGGGGTGGGGGCGCCAGCCGGCTGCGAGGGCGTGGGGGTGGCCGGGAGCTCCGTCACATACTGCTTCTGGCTGCCTGGTGGCTGTGCCTGGGGCTGGGGGCTCTGCAACTCAGTGACATATTGGGGCTGGGGGGTAGCCGCGGCGGCAGGCGGCTGGGGGGGCTGGGGCGCCGCTGCTGGCGGCGGTGGTGGCTGGGGCTGGGCCTGTGGTGGCTGGGATGGTTGTGGGGCTGCCTGGAGCTCAGTAACGTACGCTGGTGTTGCCATGCCAACAGTGGGGGAAATGATAATAAATAAGGCTTTTTTTTTTTTCTTCCTTGGGAAGAAGGGGGGGGAACAAAAAAAAAAAAAAAAAAAAAAGAAGGAAAAACAAGAATTAATCTACAGGCGGAGGAAACCAGGGGCAGCTCCTGGCTCCCTAGAGACACGGTTAGGTTCATCGCTAACTTAATTAAATCCTGAGGCTGGTGGCCAGAGACAACCAACCCATCACTGCAGGGGAACTGGTTATGGACTGGGGCTGGCCCACGCTTCTTCCACTCACCCCTGTCCAGGGCTTCTGCCTTCTTCCTTCCCAGCCTCGGCTGCCTGGGGGACCCCTGTGTCAAAGGAGGGTGAGGGAGGGTGGGGTCTTGGGCCCTCACCCAGAGACAAATAGTACACTTCTCCTGAGGGCTCCTGCAGACTGGGCAATGTGCTGAGTGCTTTCTCTCCATTATTTCATTTTAAACTTTGCAACAACCATGCCTGGGTTTGGGTTTGCTCCTGCCAGATGAGGAGCTGAGGCTCAGAGAGGTTAAGGAGCTTGCCCCAGGCCACACAGCAGGCTGAGGCTGAATCCTGGGCACTCTGAGCACCTGAGTAGCTGGCTAATTGTTGGAAGGTAAGGTCGTGGGGAAAGCTGTCTCGCAGCCAGCCTGCCCCAGTTCCCTACATGCCTGCTATTTGGGCTTGGATTCTTGGCTGGGTATCATTCCCAGTGGGGTGCCAGACAAGGGAAGAGTGTTTTTGAGTCCAAAAAGCTCTTAGAGCAGCTTGTGGCCACAGAGGCTTTCAGGCCCTTGAATGGACCGTAATGGGTTACCATAGCAGATGTGAGCTCATCACAGGAAGAGTGCCCTTCCGAGTCTAGGGGCACCGGGCTGGGAGCAGGCCCCGGCCACAGGGCAGGCTCAGCAGTCACCGCTGACCTCAGAACGGGGCCGGCCCAACCAGGCAGAGGCAGCCTTTCGGGCTGCTGAGGGGTCGTGGGTCCCACTCCCAGGTACTGGGCTAGGCACCCGCCCCTCCTGATGAGCCCAGTCCCTTCTAGCTGACCGCGCCCCTCCCAGTGCTAAGCCCCACCCCCGCAAGCCCCACCTCCCTCTCACCAAGCCCAGAAGATGGGCAAACGGTCCCCCCCGCCGCCGCCGCCGGGGCCGCCGCCGCCCACACTAACGGGTGCCATCCCCAGCCCCTAAACATCTGAGGACAGCGGATCAAACACTGGGGTGGTTAACAGAAGCTCCAGCCCCCGTATCTTCGCGGCCCCTGCCAGCCCAGGATAGTATTTGAGTTTGACAGCCCTGCCCGTGGTCGCCTGTGACACCCGTGGGCACTCCAGGCCCCGATGGCCGCTGAACCAGAGGCTCTCCTGCGCTAACCCTTGAGCACCTGTGTGCCATCGCGCGCCAACAGGCAGCCCTCCGGCCACTGGTGACAAGGAGTGGGATTTGCAAGGGGAAGGGTTTGCAAGTGGGATTTGCAAGGGGAAGGACGCGGGGGGTGGGGGTGGGGGGACAACTCTTGGTTGACCGGAAGCCCCAGGAGCCCTGGCTGCGATCACCTCTGCACAGCAGCCCCATGACGGAGGAGCCACCAGGGCCATTTTACAGATGAGCAAAACCACGCCAAGGGTGCCCAGCAACTGGTAAGAAGAGGATTTGAACCCGGGTCTCTCTGAGCTCCAGATGTGTGCTCTTAACTGCTAGCCCCACCCCGGGAGCCAGGCACAGGGCTCACTTACTTCTCTCAATCAGTACATAGCGTGTTCCCTGTTTTCCAGATGGGGATACCTGAGCCCCACGCACAGAGATTAAACACCTGCCACGCGCAAGAAAATGTCATCATCCTGCAGCCCCTGCCCTCCCAAAGTCTTCGTGCCAGCATCAGAGGGGCTGCCTTATGGGGGCTCCTCACACCATCAGGTCCAAACTCCGGCCGAGCTCAGGTGCTCGAGTCACGGCTGCTGATCAGTGTGATCTGTTTGGGGTCAGAGCCACCTCGACACGAACCCTGACTGGTCTCTTAATTCATGAACACATTACTGACCTTCCGCTGGGCCTCAGTTTCCCCATCTGTACCTAGGGATGAGGAGGACACCGATGCATAGGGCTGGTGTAAAGGTCCGACGAGACAAGCCCAGCACCCAGTAAGCCCTGAGAGGTGGAAACCACTATTCTCCTTCTCATTGAACAAGTATCTGTGCCACGTAGAGATGGAGGGGGAAGGGGAAAGAGGTCTTAGAAAGAGGTGCCCAGGGGGACTCCAACCCTGGTGTTTGTTCATCAGCATCACCTACGGAGCTAGTTAAATGCAGGCTCCTGGGACCCACTGCCCAGAGTCTGGGATGGCCCCAGAGTCTGCTGTTTGAGCTAACTCTCCACCAGATGATTCGAGGCAGGTGGCCCTGGGGGACGTCTGTGAGAAACCCTGGCCTGGGCTTTTCTGAGCCCCAGCACGGCTTGCTCCTGGGGTACCTCCCACAAGGAAAGAACTTTAAAAGCTCCACACTTGCAGGTGCTTTCTCCTCCTTGAGGTGCAAAGCCCGAAGGCCTCATTCCTTCCACTCAGGGGCAGGGGACGGAAGGGACAATGAAGGCTGAACAACGAAATTGAAAAGGAGGAGGGGAGGGGCGCCTGGGTGGCGCAGTCGGTTAAGCGTCCGACTTCAGCCAGGTCACGATCTCGCGGTCCGAGAGTTCGAGCCCCGCGTCGGGCTCTGGGCTGATGGCTCAGAGCCTGGAGCCTGTTTCCGATTCTGTGTCTCCGTCTCTCTCTGCCCCTCCCCTGTTCATGCTCTGTCTCTCTCTGTCCCAAAAATAAATAAAAAACGTTGAAAAATTAAAAAAAATTTAGAAAAGGAGGAGGGGAGGGGCGCCTGGGTGGCTCAGCCTATGAAGTGTCTGACTTCGGCTCAGGTCACGATCTCACTGTTTGTGAGTTGGAGCCCCGCATCAGGTTCTGTGCTGACAGCTTAGAGCCTAGAGCCTGCTTCAGATTCTGTGTCTCCCGCTCTCTGCCCCTCCCCCACTCGGAGTCTGTCTCTCTCAAAAATAAATAAACATTAATTTTTTTTTTTTTTAAGAGAAGGGGAGATTAGTGAAACAGTTAAACCAACTTCTCTATTGGCAACTGTCATTGCCATCAGTCTCCAGGAAGGGCCATACAGGATCCCACGTTTCCCACAATTGTGTGACCAGGAAGCCCTTTTCTTTCCATTCGTGGATGAGTAGGTTAAGCACTGTTCTGCAAGGTGCTCCCTAGAGAGAAATAAGTCACGAATATTTATACGGCATGAGACCCCTTTCTTTACAGAGCAGGGCACACAGAACAAGAGAATCACTCAGCAAACCTGTTCCTTGGCAATGTAACTGCCAAGAAAGTCACCAATGGCTGTATCTATCTTTCAAAGTCAGTTTCTGTTTTTGGAGAATGTTTGCATCAATCATTGAATCAATCAGTCTGTGGGCAGGCAGCCTCTATTGCAACTACTCAACTCTGCCCTTGCAGTGAAAGCAGCCATAGATAATATGTAAACAAATGAACGCAGCTATGTGCTAATAAAACTTTATTTATAGACACTGAAATTTGAATTTCATATCCTATCACGTCAGGACATTTTATTCATGCCACACAATATTCTCCTTTTTGATTTTTCCCCCCCAATCTCTGAAAAGTGTAAAAATCATTCTTTGTTCACAGGCCACACAAAACCAGGCGGCAGTCAAAGTTTGCCGACCTCTGTTCTGGATGCCAGATTCTACAACCAGATGGTTTATATCTTGGACAAGGCCTTCCGAAGGAAATGGAAAGAAAGCTCACTTTCCTCATCCGTAGAATGGCTTCAATGGGGAACTTGCAGGGGAACAGGGAATTTAAATATCATGATGTGCGTTTCCTTGATCCTCTATAGCCAGTTAGTTTTTAAGACTTCTCTGTAATTCCTCCAAAACAGATCCTAAGGCTGGACACTTCTCTCCACTTTCATCGGCCAATCCCAGTTGTCAGACCCCCACAACACTCTCATTACTGGCTCCTAGCTCCAGTCTCGCCTCTATAGTCTTTAAGATCCTTTGAAAACACAAATCCTATCTTGTCACTCTTGTATTCAGGAGGTTCCAAGGCTCCTATCACGGAAATTAAATAAAATCCTGAGCCCTTCCCAAGACCTCTGGGGCCTTGAGGCATCTAGCCCCTCAAGTCTCTCCTGCTCACTTTGAATGTTCTAGTCAAACTGGCTCTTGCTCCGAGAATGTTCCATGCCTCCTCCTGCCTCAGGACCTTTGCACCCACTCTTCCACCTGACTGACATCCTCTCCTCACCTCTACTCCCATTCTCCACTGCTGGCTGCCTCATATCATTCAGGTCTCAGCTTATATGTCACCTTCTTGGGTCTCAAGTGTGCCTCCCACCCCAAGTACTCTGAGGCACAGACTCCTGTTTGATTTTCTTCCTGGACCTCTATTTCCTTATTTGCTTTTCTTTTCTTTTTTTAAACATTTATTTTATTTTTGAGAGAGAGAAAGAGAGAGCAGGGGAAGGGCAGAAAGAGGGAGACAGAGGATACGAAGCAGACTCTGCTCTGTGAGCACAGAGCCCAATGCGGGGCCCGAACTCACGAACCGTGAGATCATGACCTGAGCCAAAGTTAAGAGTCAGCAGCTTAGCCGGCTGAGCCACCCAGGCGCCCCCCCCCATTTTCTTATCCATAGTTCCTCTTCCTTCCGTGACCAGAAACGCGAGCTCTCCCAGGGCCGAGACCTGGCCCGCCTTGCCCATCACTGACCTCCGGGTCCAGAACACGGACGGGCACGTAGTAGGGACTCAACTTTTACTGTCAAATGAGTGTCCACATGCCAGGAACACACTGTTAATGGGTGTCAAAGGTCACTGTGAATCTACCAATGGACGAGACCTTGCGAAAGAGTTACTGCCTCCTGCCTCTGCCTGCCAGCAGCAGGCTTGTGCAGCAGGGCTGGGCAATGCCCCCTGGTCCAGAACGGGCTGCCCAGCCCAAGAAGAGCATGCAGTGTGCCGTTGCTATCTGCAGGCTGCATCCCCGGGGAAGTCTGCCTGGCCCATCCCCGAGATGCTGAGACGTGTATGGGAAGGGGAGGGCAAGGACTTCAGCTCCAGGGACACCATTCCCACGACACCCACATCTCTGGCTCACCCAGCTGCCTCCTGGAAGCCTTGGGGCTGAGTCTGGGCCCAGGCCCAGGAGAAGTTTTTCTGTTTGGCTGCTCTCCTGAAGCGGGAGAAGGACTATTCAGGAAGGAGCGAGGGGAATAACACTTTCCCACTAGAAACTAGAGTCCTGGTATCCAGCTTCCCGGGAGCTCTGTCATCTGCCCACACAGCCCAACAAGTGAGTCAACCTTTAAAGCCACTAGGCTCTCACCCAATTCAAAATGATAAAAATAAATACAAGCGGTGTAATTCGGAGGGCTGAGCAGGAGAGGACAATCATGATAATAAGGGTAGCCGCTAACACAGTTTGAGCAATTACTATGTATTTGATGTTCAACATGGATTCTTTTATCGGGTCCATAACACAGGAATATGAGATTAAGAGTATTACCAATGGCCACTGTCCCTCGCTTGGACAAAAGGAAACTGAGGTTAGAGAAGTACAGTAACTCATCGAAGGGCACACAGCGACAGTTGATTGCGAGAAAGCAGCTGATTGCTTCCACAAGCAAACTAAACCAGTGCCCTCAACCCTAGTCACAAGACCCCTCTGGGCTTGGGCCCTTCAAAGGTAAAAGTTATGCGGGGGAGGGGGCAGTTAACAAGCCTAGATAACTACTAACATCGCCTTCTGCTCAAAGTTTGCCTTTCCAACAGGTGGTGGTGACCTTTCTGGAGACTTGGTATTTCCAGTCTGGCTCGGAAAATTAATCTCTGCCTTTCTGAACTTTCAAGGGGTCCTGCCACCTCTCAAAGAGGAACGGGTCTAGAAAAAGTCCCGGAGAAGTGAGACCCCCTCCCGCCCCTCCCCCCTGGTCTCAAATTCTTGACGGAAAGCCTTAGGAGAGCCTGAGACGATCCTTTTCCTCGAAGTTGATTGACTTTAAAAGAAAAGGGCTACAGTTTGCACACCGCCACTCAGCTCTGCTGATGCCGAGCTCCAAAGCAAGACAGAGAACAAGCAAAGTGGACTTGGCCCAGCTGGCTATCTGAAAAAAATAAATCCTTCCCCAAGCAGGTAGAGCCTGTTGCCCGCCAAAGCAGTCGCTCAGATTCTCCTGTAACAAACATGGAACACTTCCCCTTTCCTCTAATCTTGATGTGCCGCTCCTGCCCACGTGGCTCTGGAGGCTGGTACCTCCTCAGTGACATGTGACCCAGCTGACACCAACTTGATTGACACAAAAACATGTGTCTGGCCAAGAGAAGCAGCTTAAGAAATCTAAGAAACTTCTCCAGGCGCCATTTGCTTCCCATTCCCAGAAAGGCAGACCTTGATGGGCAAGAAGGTTAGAAATCGTCCCATCTCCAGAAACAAGTCCTCTGGCCAGGGACGATACGAGGTCTAAGAGAGCAGTGCACAGAGAAGCACTCAAGTTTCTGTTCGACTACCTCAGTCACCCCAGATCACTCCTCCCCTGCCATGGGCTTCGACTTCTGCAAACCAAATCCTTCCGGCTGAAGCCATATTCCTAGCCCACAGTTTCGCCATGAAACTTTGTTTTCCTTTGCTTTCTCTCCGAGAATAAGGGAGATTTAGGAACAGACGGCAGTGTGGAAATCAAGATTAGCTAACAGTTCTATCAAACCATATTCAAAAATAGCACATAGCAGTAAAAGTTCAAACATGAGGCCTAGAGAAATTCCTGAAAGGAGTCAGAAATCCCTGAAATGTAGAAAAGGGACGATGGCAATGATTCTCCCCACTTTACAGAATGGAAAACTGAGGCCTCAGATGTGGCAGACACGGAGTACTGGGAATGACTGGGGTGGGGTGGGTTCTAAAGCGACGCAGCACAGGTGGCTTTCCATCCCTTTGGGAGGCTGTAAGGCCCTGGCGGCAACTGCCCCACCCGGTTCCCCCGCCACCGGCACCCGCCGGCCCCGCCCACACCTTACGACCTGGCCCCGCCCATTCACCTCCGCCCCGCCTCGCCCCTCCCTCGCTCCCATTGGCCCAGCCTCCCCAGGCCCGCCTCTCCGCGCCTCCCAACATATAAAAGCCCCCCGCCCCGTCCAACCGACCTCCACTCGCCGCCGGCCTGCTAGCGCCCGCCCCTCACGGGGGCTGGGCCCCGGACCCCAGGGGCGGGTGGTGTCGCCCCAGCCGGGCCCCGGCCCCCTCCCCCACGGCCCCGACAGTCGCCGCCGCCATTTTGACCGCCCGCCCCTTCCCCCCGGACTATGATTACAGCGACACCCGCCGCCCGGGCCCCGCCGCCCTCCCTGGCCGGGCCCGCCACCCCAGGGCCGCCCGGGTTACCTCGGCTTCTTCCTACTTCTGTCCGCAGAAGGGCTTTCCAGAGGTCTCGGAGGCGATGTTGGGAGGGGGACGGAACGTGCCGGGGTCCCCGGGCCGGGCAGGGGGGGGTGGGGGTGGGGGTCGGCCGGGCGGTTGTTGTTGTTGACTCGCGTTGCCGGGTTGCTTGGTCGCCACGACTACCGTGGCTATGGCGCCTCCGTTTCCCTCACCGGGGCAACTGTTGCTACCCACCCTACACACGTCATGAGCGGGGGCGGAGTCCCGGGTGATTGGCGGCGCCAGGAGAAGTGATTGGATGGCGCTAGGTCCTGCTGCTAAGCTATTGGTCCTAAGTCACGCTTTTCAACACCCTCTCGACTTCTCGGCGCTCTGATTCATCGGTGTGAATGTCCATCAAAGGAAATTGAACCCTCAAAGGCAGAAGAACCCGTCACTCCCGCAAGGAAGCAGCGGCCTAAGAATAAAGGGGTGGGGTCTGTGAGGTTGGGATTGGCTTGCGGCTGTAAAACCTGCCTTATGGTTCAGCTAAAGGGATGTCAATCCATTCCAAAGGTTTGCCGCGCTCTCCAGCTGGGAACCGTGCGCATGCGCAGCACGCAAAGCCAGCTGGGAGTGGTAGTCCGCTCAGCGTACTTTAAAAGCCTTACCAACTATAAAAGGCGAGAAAGGAAAGCTCTCTTCCTTCAGACTTCTTCCTGCCCCGGTGGGTCAGTTCCTCGCCTCGCGCGCTTACGTCACGGGAGGAATGCAGTGATGCGCGCGGCTCGTCTGTGACGTCAGCGGCGGAGCTGGGCTAGGGATTCAGTGACGTCACTGGGCGCTCTTCCCCTCCCCCCCTATTGCCCTACGTTGGTAAGATGGTCGTGGGATGTGAAGACTGGGTTCGATCCCGGGTCCCATCCCTCGAGCAAACTTCCCCCACCACCTCCGCCTAGACCCGGCCTCCGCGAGGGCTCCCGCCTCCCCCTCCTATCGGGCCGGAAAAGGTCACCGCTGCCGGGACAACCGCGGCTATCTCCGCCCCGCAGGCGGTGCGGACAGCCCTGGGAAAGGTCTCCTGCAAGCGGAGGACTTAATTAGAGGCTTCTAGCGCGGGCGATAAGCAAAGGTCGGCGCCCAGCACCCCCAGGGGAGTGGGGGCTGCTCACCAAGGCTCCACACCGCACCCCGACGCTCTTCCCCCTCCGTCGCGCCGCCCCCTCACCGTCCTCCTTGCCTCAGTTTCTCCAGGAGAGAAGAGACAGAAGCGGGTCGAGACTAGGTTGAGGGCGCAAAAACTCAATCATCAAGATAAATGACATTCTATCCAATATTTTTTTAAGTATCAAAATTAATGGGGAAAAAAATAAATCCATGATGACCAAACTACCAAAATTTTAAATAAAGATAGGATCCTGCCAGGAGTGGGATCAAGATGAAGTGAGTCACGCAAGTGCTGGATCGGATCTTGTCTTTTACTTTTTCAAAAACATATTTTAATCCTCAAATTTTTTTGCATTAATTTTGATTTCTCAAAATAGTAATTATCTTGATAAATGAGTTTTTTGCCCTCCCCCCCCCCCCCCCCCCACCCCCGCCCGCCCCGCCACCCCCTTCAGTTTTGCGCCGTGGTCTCCACCAGAGACAGGAAAATGAACGAAAAAGCTCAGAGCCCATGGTTCTACTTGTAGTCCTGCTGTGTGACAGTGTGACGAAGCGGCTCTGTCTCTGAGCTGCTGTTTCCTGGTTCAACCAACTTCACCCCTCTTGTGTGCAAGGCCCGGGCTGTAAAAGTAAAGAAAGCAGACAAAACCTCAGGCTTTGCATTTTATTAAGAGAGACACCATTACTAGTGAAATGACTACATAAGATAGGTTTTTAAGGGGCTGTAAGAGTGATATGGGGGGGTGGGGGGTGGGAGAGGAGTGACAGGATGCAGTGGCCTGTGTCACTTGAGGGAGGGGTCCTGCAGTCCTGAGTTGTGAAAAGAAGCCAACTCCATAAAACCCAGGTGGAGGGAACGGCGGGGAGGAGGGGAGGCGGGAGATAAACATCAGGCTGGGGCAGAATGAGCAAAGAGGAAAGGGTCAGGAGGTGAGGTCAGAGAAGCAAAGGCAGCCAGGTGATTCCCCAGAAACCCTCCACCTCCCAACAGCCCCGCAAGTCGAAATCCCCCCCCCCCCCCCCCCGCCTCACTAGACGGGTAAAGCAAAAAAGCAAATAGAGTCTCAGAGGTAGAGGTAGAAGGAGATTCTTCCGGGATCACGCAGCTGGGAGGCAGCAGAGCCCAGACAGCCTGTCTCCTTTTCTGGGCCTTTCCGATGTGCTTTGATGCCCCGGGGTGTGACCTCCACCTCCACGGTAGAGGAAAAGCAGCAGCAGTTTCAATCAGCCTGGAAATGCTCGCGGAGCCCCAGCCCCGATAAGTCCACCCAAGAATGAATGCGACTTGCAGGCATAAGGTGGCCAGGATAAATCCCAGCCCGCAGAGCCAGTCGGCCCCTGCAGCTGCGTCTGTGAGACAGGTGGAGGTCCCAGAGCCAGCCCTGTGTGCATGGGGGCCACGGGGGGGGGGGGGGGGACTAGAAGCCCTATTGCCACCTCCTACCCATTTCCCCACCTCCCTGAAGTCCCTAACCCCCCAGTGAGCACAGCCAAGCCTGGAAATCATTTCTTCAATCGCAAGTATTCATCATAAGCCTTTGTGGCAGGGAAGGCAGTGTGGGCTAGAAATGTTCTATTTTTTTTTATAGTGTTTGCATGGGTTTATAGATATAAAAAATTCCCTGAGCTCTCCATTCGAAATCTATGTCCTTTATGTATGTTATACCCCAATTTGAAACTTAAAAACACACGTTATACCATTGGAAGTCAAGTTATACTCTTGACCAACTCCTTTCTGAAACATTGGTAATTAGGGGGGCCTGGGTAGCTCAGTCCATTAAGCGTTCATCTCTTGATTTCAGCTCAGATTATGATCTCACAGTTCGTGGGATCAGGCCCCATGTCGGGCTCCTCGATAATGGCACAGAGCCTGCTTGGGATGCTCTCTCTCCCTCTGTCTCTTTCCCTCTCCCGCTTGCTCACTCTCAAAATAAATAAACTTTTTTTTTTTTTTAATGCAGAAAGAATGAAAGAATTAGAAAAAATGACATTTTGGGGCTTCCGGGTGGCTCAGTCCATTGAGCATCCAGCTCTTGATTTTGGCTCAAGTCATGATCTCATGGTCTGTTGAGTTCGAGCCCCATGTTGGGCTCTGTGCTGACAGTGCAGAGCTTGCTTGGGATTCACGCTCTCCTTTTCTCTCTCTGCCCCTCCTTCCCTCTTCCTCTCTCTCTCAAAATAAATGAACTTAAAAAAAGAAAAAGAAAATTTGCCGTTTTGCAAAAGCCAAGGAAATCACTGATCTGGGCAATGATCGTCGATGGGCATCATAAAGCAGCAGGTGAGAGAATGACGGGGAACAAACTATGCACAGGGTGCTGGATGGCTCACGGAGCCCAGGGGTGTGGACTTGATCACGGAGGCCAGGCTGTCACCAGCATTAGCTGCCAGGCAGCTCAGCAGCACAGTAAAGGGCCCTGGGCCTCCCGATGTGATGCGAAAGGAAGTTCACAGCTTCCCCTAGGACACACACGTCTTGCCAAAACGTTAAACCTGACTCTGATGAAGTCTCTCAACCTCACATCCAGTTTGCAGGAAATGGAAAGGGTAGAGAAACAAGTTAAATGACAATGTCAGGAAGCGACAGACAAATCCACAGTCGGGGGGGGGGGTACCACATGACAACTGTCCCTGTCTCTTCAACAAGTCAGTCATGAAAAAAAGGGGCTGAGGACTTTTCTAGGGCAGGCGGCACCGTCGACACTTGGGGCCAAATTGTTCTTTGTGGTGGGAAACTGTCCTGTGTGTTTTACGATATTAAGCAGTGCCCCTGGCCGCCACCCACTAGATGCAAGTAGCCTCCTCCCCCAGCCAGGTATGACACTGAAAGATGTCTCTAGACAAGCGTCCTTGGAGATACTACCCTAGAGGATGGTACAACAAGGGACAGAAAGGCACGGGCTTCCCAGCTACCCACCAGCAGAGACCAACCTTCTCTCGCATTTAAGCCAGTCATCGGGTCTCTGTTAAACCAAGGGAACCGCGCCTCGGTGGTTCTGTTCCAGATTTTTATATTCATTGAAAGTTTTGCACCGGGTGAGCATACTCACTGAGGTGGGTCACTGGAGGCAACGTACATGTCCATCTTTCTAGCAAGCGGCATGATCCAGACTCCTTAGCCAAGTAGCCCAGCAGCAAAAAGTAGCTTACAAAGTATCGTGCTGATGGGCGTGAAACCCAGACACCATAGCATTTTAAGACCCGGCAACCCTGTTCCTCCCCCAAGCGGCAGGAGAAAGAGATCTCTGTGGAGTTTTGCTAAAAGGGAGAAAAAGAAGAAATTTAAAACTATGAATGTGCCAGCTACCAAGGGGAATCTGACCCTCGGTGCATTGGAATGCAAACGAGACATCCTCCTGTTACACTGGCAAGTCATCATAAAAGCCGGTGCATTTCTGCTTATTATTAAGTGTTATGCTTAGCAGGCTAGTTCTGACTTTTCAAGCCACACAATGGGGTAAGAGAAAAAAAAATATCGTAAATGTGTGAGTACTGTGCAGATATAGCCATGGATGAAATGGAATCTAGTGTCAGAGGACGCCCAGTCCAACAGGTTTGGGGAACTATGTTGCAAGCAGGGTTTTGATGAGTTAAGGTGATCTTGGGAAAATATTGTTGAAGGTATTGCATCATCGAGCGGAAGGCAAAGTTGGGGGGAAAAAAAAGGAATGAACTGAGATTTACAAAATAACAGGGGCGCCTGGGTGGCTCGGGCGGTTAAGCATCTGACCTCAGCTCAGGTCATGATCTCACGGTTCGTGGGTTCAAGCCCCGCATCGGGCTCTGTGCTGACAGCTCAGAGCCTGGAGCCTGCTTCGGATTCTGTCTGTGTCTCACTCTCCCCTGCTCACGCTCTTTCTCACTCTCTCAAAAATAAATAAACATTAAAAAAAATTAAGTACAAAATTAAAACAAAAATCTGAGATGTGAGGGACGCTTGGGTGGCTCAGCTGGTTAAGCCTCTGACTCTTGATTTCAGCTCAGGTCATGATCTTGAAGTTTGTGAGTTCAAGCCCCACGTAAGGCTCTGTGCTGACTGCACAGAGCCTGCTTGGGATTCTCTCTCTCTCCCTCTCTCTCTCCCACCACCCCCCCAGTCTTTCAAAATAAATAAATAAACTTTTTAAAAAATCTGAGAGGTGATCCCCTAAATACTTGGGCTTTGAGAGAAAATGCTTGGGACACACGCGTATCCACATGAACTTGTGTCAACCTATTCCCACCCCCCACCAAGTGGTAAGACAATTTTTGGTGGGGAGAGGCTGAAGGAAATAAGTTAATAACTGCTTTGACTCTCTTAACAAAAATGCAATATATCACTGAGCTAAAAGGGTACAGATGGAAATCTAGTACACAGTCCCATTGTGCCAGTCACAACATACTTGGACACACATACAAAGTGAGCATGTAAACATACACAGTGGTACATCCTATTGTTTGAGGTTATGTACCTGTTCAGGAACACAGGGCAAATGTCTTAGAGATTCTGGCAGTGGTTTGGGAAGAGCAAGAAATTGGTTATCTGGGATGAAATTACACCAGTGGGCACTTTGCCTGGACCAGGGAGGGCATAATCGTGTTTGGGGAGAGATGGGACTGGGTGAGACCCAGGTTCACTGGCATTTGGGGAGCATATAGCAGATGGC